TCCTCTTGCTATTTGAACGGATGCCGCTGTCGTATTGGCGAAATTATTGATGGTCCACACAAGGAATACAACCGACTGGAGAAACAGCAAAAGCAAAAATGTGCCCATGTGTTCAGATAAACGTTTGATTAGCTCGCACATCTCGAAGTAGTCAGCCAGGGTCTTCTTTTCCCCAGTTTTATTTTGATCCAATGTAAGATGCTGTCGCATTCGTGACAGTAAACGACCGATGATGAAACACACGATGAGGAACAAGGCTTCGACAAACAGCCATAAAGACATGCGAAGGACAATGAAAGCGCCATGAATATCCTGAATTACATGGTTTTTAAAAAAGCTGACTCCGTACTGATACGCTATAAATTCTGTTTCACTAATGCTGAGATAGAGGAATGTGCTGTTATACCAGACGATATATTGCAGCGACCAAATACTCAATGCTAAAAGCGTCACCGCCGACGCAAGTAGCATTAAGTTGTCGTGTATAAGCGTTCACACCGATTAGGGTTCCATGAACAATCTTTACTCTTCCACGCCTGTAATGCTCAATCGGTAGGCAACTCTCATCTCAAACTGTAACAGATAAACTATGGCGGAACGACGAACAACTCAGGAACACGGATCAGGAATCCCTAAGCAGGAACACTCCAACTACTATCTCCGGTCGCAGTTTCTACGAGGATCAACAAGAGCTAGGACGATTGTGTCACGAGCAAACCTGTATACTAAGCGATAATCCGGGAACGACTATGCACTTCCGTAGGAACAAGTATTGCTGTCTCTTTATTAATACACTTCGTAGTCCACAACACAAGGAAATCGTAATTAGAAAGCAGTCTCAGAAGTCAAGTTAGCAACCGCCAAGTGACTGCTTTCGATATTAGTGACAACCAGAACTTATATAGACTTCGCGTTATGACATCATATACACCGCTAGTAAAAGAGAACAGCAAATCACAGCATAGATTGACTAGATTATCTGTTGTGTTGCAGGTGGAAGGCGGACAGTCAGCATCCGTACGTACATCCCGGCGTGTGATCCTACTCCCACACGTCAAAGTGCAGTTCCCGTTGGGTAAAGTATTCCGCTTCAAACTGGCGGATGCGCTGGATTGTATTGCGTATTTCTTTCCATTCAACCGCAACAATCACGCTTCCCAGTAGAGATGCAACATCGCGCTGCTTTATACTCAGCAAATAAAAGAAGTTGTCCATCGTTCCTGTCAAATCGTGGAGGAAAAGCGGCACGGTCACGGCAGCTACGTGAAGGAGTTTGATAAACGTGAAGATGAAAATCCAGGAATGAGCCGCGATGGCTTTCCAGCGCCATTTGCCGGCTGCTCGCTGGTCCGTGACCCACAACGGGCAAAGACCGCTGATTTTGAGGGACAACTCCCAAAAGCTGATTAGATGATCGAGAAACCGGCTGGTAGTCTTTTGACGAAGTCCTTTATTCCTTGTTATATCCATCATGCATCAATTAAATGCCCGAATAGTGAGAACGTAGGGATGGTGTTAACTGTCAGGATATGGGTGGTCTATGATACTGTTTCTGATATCTCCACCCGACTTTTAAACACTGGGCGAGCTAGGCATTCCTAAATTCCCAAGAGGCCAAAACTTTCATTACGGAGTTGATTTTGTAGCGTGTTTCTGCGGCTACTCAGTAACTCTTTCACCGGAGGCAACGCGACAAGGTTGCGTAATACCCTGGTTGTTCGTTCTCTCTTGCCCAGCACTTCTGATTGCGGGAGGCAGACGATGCTACCTAGAGTCAACAAAAGAGCGCACATAGATGCCGACATCATCAAGAAATAGACTCGGGCCCGGTCGGCCTGGGTTTCTGCGAGCCGCACCCAAGGCTTGCCCACCTGTTGGGTGCTGGCTGAGACATTAAACTCAAGCAAATCAACATTAAGGACGAAGTCGTACTTCATGTTTTATGTTGAATTTGCTTTCATGTCAAGATAATAACATTCCATGAGTAATGTACGGCGTTTATGTACTTATGTTGTGAAGTACATGCCTGTTCTTCCGTTTTGAGCTTCCTAATTGGTTGTTGTATGGGCCCTTTAATGACGTCGGCGCTGTTTTATGTTTCCTAACTTTCCCATGTTAAAGCAGAGAAGTGATCATCTGTTTTTGATAGCGAAAATCAGTCTAGACAAAAGTAATGTGTGAACTTGCAACTGCTAATAAGAACTTGTGTTATGAGAGCTCTCGTGTCTTCTATAGCGAAAACATTAGTGTGTGTACCCATCGGAAGTCACAATTCTCTGGATAACTCCATCATCCACATCTTAATTCGTGCACATAGTAGGATAACTGGTAAAGTGTTTTATTAGTTATCAGAGGATTAGGCATAAGAAATAGTTCATAGTGTTTATTTCCCACTTTATCTACTGAGTTTTGGATGGTCATCTTGTACGGTAGATGTAGTGCATCTTCCGTAAATAATTTGCTTTATTGTAACTCTGTATTTATTAAGCTTGAATATAATGTACAGCGTCATGAAAACAATATCAACAAATCAAATAAAAAAAATGATTCCAGTTCGAGCGTGAGAGGACGGTGGCCAAAACCAGCTGAGCACTGCCACGCCACATTTCTAAACCTGAACGCTGAAACAAAAAAGAGGTAGATCGGAATACGCCAGTTCGAATAAACAACTTTTTCCCGATTTCTTTACTTTTCTTTTTCCCGATCACACGCCAAAGGAACAAAATAACAATCTATTATCAAATGGTGCAGGTACTTGTTCTTCTTATGGCTGTGCAGCTCCTGCTAATCGGGACGTGGCTTTTACGTACGTGTCGCACATAGTATCACGGCAGATAACGTCCCACGCAAGCGGTAGTCCTCGGAACCATTTCGGAACCATTTGATATACTTGATTCTTCTACTTGCGGTTTACTAATCGGGTAGTAAGTTGTGTTAAGGTGGTATGCTTTAAGGTGGTATGCGATGCGGCATATAAGACTAAACACTAGTGAATAAACTTAATGGCTAGAATGAAAGGATACATCTTAGGCTCTGAAATCTGATTACATTTTAAGCAAGTGACTTGCTGAAAATATTGTTCTACAAAAAATGTTACGCTTCCTTAAGCTATTACTCCGATTACCATACCTATGTACAAACTGCCGCTCTACGGTCAGCATAAGTATAGTACTACAGACATTCAGTCTGTTTGTTACATCAGATATACTTCTACAAATACAACAGATACTGCAGATATTTGTTTAAAAATTTAATAAATTACGTATTTTTTATCTTTCCTCTGTATATGACTTTATCTAAATATTGCATTTCATATCCCCTCGATGTGTTCTGCTGATCGAATATTTGAATTTGTCGTAAATTTAACCTTACAATTTTAAAGGATACCGGTATCACCGGTTTTTAAAATTGTCTTCGGTACCCCCTAAATTCTCTCCTGCGTAGCCGCTGCATAGTGGTTAATCCTGCTTAAAAAAAGCGAAAGCTTAGTGTAACTAACAAGGTCTGAGGAGTGAAAATCGTAGGGAACATCAGTTTCGGGCCTTGGCCATTTACTCTTAGAGAGACCGCTGTGGTAACTAAAATCAGAAGTTATTACTTATTAAGTTGACAGTGTTCTCCACCTCACAGAGTCCACTTTCCATATGACGTCTTAGGACAAATTGAGCCACATTATTTGCTGTCGTCGGGGGGTACGCCGTGCATCCGATTTTCGTCAGGCTGACGCAACACGAGACAAACGGAATGCACGCCGTACCCCGCCGGATAACACAGGACCACAAACTCCCTGCACCGCACTGGACACGTATCGAAAGCCGGTTTTAACTTAAAGCCCGCTCTGGATACATGTCCACTCACTTGCGGACGAAAGCAATTTCCGCTGTTGCAACGGCACAGAGGGTAATAACTGCTGGAAATGCCGAAGCTTCCGGTTGATAACAATACAGGATAAGCAGCGGCACAGCAAGTCCATGTCAGATGAACAGAAGACCGCAGCGCATAATGAGAACCCAGATTGTTTACTGTACCCGGCTTACTTAAGAAACGCAGTGGCAGAAACCAGTGCGTTTCTTAAGTAAGCCTGGTATGGCGTTCGGCAAAATCTGATGCGTTAAACAACGGCATTACGGCAACTAGAATTTTCGTGGCCATGTTACTGCGGTCTCGATAGAGAGCTGCTGCACTGCCTTTGCGATAGCCTGAAGCGATTGATGCGAGCAGACTAACAGAATGCAAAGTTTAACAGTACGAGTAATCTGTTTCGCGTTTTACTGTTACTCCTTTAATATGTGCGAGTACTAGCTGTATGTGTTCATTTTGTGCTGTTCTATCGATGCGAACTAGTAAGGCCAGTTGGAGTTTCGGCAACGAAACCTGCTTGACAACATTTCTCTGCTCTCTGATAACTTTCTTTAATTTTGAACAAGTACACTGTCTAGTGTCTGCTCTGCTCTCTGATAATTTTCTTTGATTTAGAACAAGTACACTGTCTAGTGTCTACATAAAGCATTACCCTGTCGGCCTTATACGTATTACAAATCGGCGGAGACTTGTAGACGTTACTCTTTTGAGGTTTGGTTTTACGTTAGATATGGGATCCATATTGAACACCGGAATGGCGCAGGTCAAGGTTAAATTGATATATTACATGTAATTTCCTCAAATAAAAACCGCGCTGCTGCCGTGGATCTCGAGCAGTCACTGTAGGCCTTTGAAATGAACTAGATTGAACTATCTGAAGTGCTGAGCAGACGGTTGCGGTCCTGTTTTCACGAGAGGGTATTCGAGCACAGCGAAAGTATTAGCTTGTATTTTCATGGATATTTCGGTTTATCATTCTCATATCAGCTCTGCTTTTCTACCTACTACCGTAGTACCGGCTTTGACTGCCTTGAAGTGCTTCGCGGTAAAACAAGCCAGTTCTGCCTAGCCAAGCCAGTTCTCGATTTCCCGCCCTTTCAGCGACTCGGTGTACAATACACTTTACCGCCGTCTGATACATGATTTTTGACAAACATCTTTGTGAAAAATGCCTACGAAAGTTCCATGTTTGATAGAAAAAAAAGGATGAAAATTATCAAATCAGACAAACCACCTCTTCAAAATGCTCTTCACTTGAACCTACAAATGATACTAAATAATCGTGAACTGGATCGCTTAAAAGTGTTAACTTATTTTGGTAGCATTCATCGCAGTCCGTTCGCAATTTGGAGCTGTTTCATAGCGATTTTCTTTTAGCTGTAGAACAAAGGTGCCATAGGAGAACAGAACGCCAACCATCTGCAATAAACCGAGTTACCGATGCTGGTGCGTTTACATTCTTTAGCCCAATGGTCCTTGCGGTCTGTCCAGTTAATACATGGAGGCAGGTGTATAAGCTTACTACTTACTGTTGCAATAAATGTCCGATCCACCACGACTATGCCAGCCAGGGAAAATCCAGTGGGATTAGAAGGAATCCAGTATAATTTGGTAAACATTTTCATAGATCCTTCAGCGCAAGTCTCCTGAGGGGCTAGAATATGGACTTCTCTAGTTACATTCGCCTAGAAATGCGAAAGTTCATGACCGTTGCTGGAAGAATTATAAATGCAGTCACACAAAATAGATTCGCGGTAAACGTCTGCACTGTATGAGGCCTATATACAAATGTCTTAAATTACTATGTAAGCGACAAATCAAAACTGGAGGAACAATACTTATTTATAACGCGGCCATGTACCCGTTCATGAACATAGATCATAGCAAAGGTGACAATCAGGGTCCAAACGATGATCTCCATGGTGTTATAAGCTTGGATTCCCAATGGCAACATAGTGATGACGACCGTTTTATTCGCGTAATTATTTATTGTCCACACGAGCCAGATAACCGACTGAAGGTAGAATAAAAGTACAAATCCACCAGTATGCTGCGATAAGATTTCCACAAGCTTACACACGTCAAAATAATTACGCAGATGTTGGCTCAGAACTGTCTTATTTGTGTCCAGGTTAAGGTTTTCCTTTATCCGAAACAGCAAACCGACCGATAAGACATGCAAAGATAGCTAGTAACGATGCCAGAAAATAGACCAAGCACGTACGCATGATGGTAAAGGCAGAGTAAATATACCGTACAAACTGCCGTTTAAAAATGGCCAATCCGTATGCATTTTCCAGAAATGCTGTTTCCCGTCCGGTGACATACATAAAGTGGAAATTAAACCACACGATATATTGTTGACAAAATGACACCGCCGCTAACAGGATGACGGCCGTCACCGCGCACATCAGACGCTTAGGTTTTATGTGGCTTGATGAAGCCTTTTTGGCATAGTAACAGTAGGTGCGTGTGCCGGATGAAACCTTTTCGGCTTTGTAACTGAAAGGTGAGTGTGCGGGATCCACCTAAAAACTTAAAGGTGCGTGTGCCGGAAAAATCTTTTTAGATTTTGAATCTGAAAGGTGCGTGTGCCAGATGGAACCTATTCGGCTTTGTAACTGAAAGGTGGATGTGGTTCATACATTAAGGCTGTGTAGCTGAAAGGTACACGTAGGGGATGAAACTTTTCAGGCTTTGGAGCTCAAAGGTGCATGTGCCGGATGAAACCTTCTCGGCTTCGTAACTGAAGGTGGGTTTGCAGAATCCGCTGTTTTAATTTTTCGCAGCTGAAGCCTTTCTGTTTAAACCTGGCCCCGGCTAAAACCATCCGATTTTACTACAACTTATAAAACCTGTTGACATGGAATTCTTTAGCTAGAAGAAGCAGCTGACAGGAGCAACTTTTGCACTGCAGCGCGGCGCGTAAGCGCCGCGCGCTGTGCTTGTCATTATATTAAAGCAGGAATCTCCGTGGCTAACACCGACCGCCTCCAAACCTTTCTGATTGGCCAGAGCCAGCAGATGCTTTCTGACTGGCCAGAACCAGCTTACGATTCTTATTGGTGCTTTCTGATTGGCCAGAACCAGCTTACGTTTCTTATTGGCCAGAACCAACCTTTTGAATTTCAAGCGTTAAACTCTTACTAAGCTTTCAAAGCCTTAGTGCCTGTACGAACATTTACCTAATCAGCCAGAACAACCAGTCTTACCTTCAACCCTCGCCTTACTAAGGTTAGTTCCATTACAGACTTTTACTTGAGTAGCCAGAACCACCAGATCCGCCAGATAAACCAGAACTACCAGATCAACCAGAACTACCAGATTAGCCAGATAAAGCAAACCTACCAGATTAGCCAGATAAAGCAAACCTACCAGATCAGCCAGAACTACCCGATCAAACAGAACTACCAAAAAAAGCCAGAACTACCGCGCGCTGTAAAGCCCTTCAGGCTTTCTGAAGTCATCCGATGAACCAGATTCCGGATGAAACCGTTTAAACTGTGTAACTGAAAGGTCCGTGTGCCGGTTGAAACCTTTTTGGCTTTGTAACTGAAAGGTGTGAGTGCCCGTTGAAACCATCTAAACTGTGTAACTGAAAGGTGCGTGTGCCGGATGAAACCTCATGGGCTTTGTAACTGAAAATTGTGTGTGCCGGTTGAAACCATCTAAACTCTGTAACTGAAAGGTGCGTGTGCCGGATGACACCCTCTGAACTGTGTAACTGGAAGGTGGATGTGCTGGATGAAACCTTTTAGGCTTTGTAACTGAAAAAGTGCGTTTGTCGGATGACACCTTTTTGGCTTTGTAGCTGAAAGGTGAGTGTGCCGGATGAAACGTTTCAAGCTTTTGCAACTTAAATGTAGATTTGTGGAATCTACTTTTTTATTCTTACGCAGTTGAAGCCTTTCTGAGTACACCTGGCCCAGGCTAATATCCTTCCGGTTTCTCTAAATTTTAGTTACCCTGTTTACTTCGAATTATTTAGCTAAAAGACGCGGCTTACAGAAAAATCTTTTGCACTGCAGCGCGGCGCGTAAGCGCCGCGCGCTGTGCTTGTAACTGATTAATTCGAAGTTTGTTTTTATAATAGTTCTTAAGTACTGTACCTATTACATCAAGTCACGCATACCGTGATTTAGTTAACAGTGCATACGGAAATACGGTAATTAGCCGGAATCGAGAGTAAATCTTAGTTAGCGCTGACTAAGCTTTACTTTTGATTCCCCAATCAATTTAGCTGCGTACTCCAAAGTCAAAAAAGAAATGCCACCGAACATTTTCCCTCCTCTCACAATAAGTTACACAAACTGTGAATCACATCAGGCTTCTTGTCAATTCATCAAACACGTGATGGTTACAGCGTATAGCGGTTGAACGCTTGTGACTTGTGTGCCGATAGCTTAATGAATATGTCGCTTCCGTAATTTCACAGACAAGCTAAGAATGGATCTTAACGACGGTAAGGTACATTCAGTAACGGTCACCAGTAAGTTTCTCAGTGTTACCCTGAACTTTTGGCAAGCACTTCTTAAAATCTGTGGAATATGTCCATTGTGGATTATCGATCCACGAGCCCTTGGCAAATATCGCTGGAAGGTTGTCCTGGCGTATTACTGGATTGTCACACTTACAGTAATCAAAATCCTGAATGTGGCGGCCGTCACTATTCCGTCGCTTACGAAGCGATTAACCGGAAGCATGGACGAATTTGTCTACGAGGTGTGCGCGCGTGAGCGAGAAGTGATATCTCTGCTTTCCGCGCTGCTTGTGACGATAGAATGGCCACACATCCAGGCCACCTTGCGCTCCATCCGGCACTACGATGCCGAATATTTTACCCAGCGCGAATGGCGGCGGGTTGATCTTCTTATTACGGAATATAGCCGTACTCGTAGTGATTAAAACGTACGTTAATCTCTTTATTCGAATGTTCTCTATTGTTTCGGGTCGAGTTTGGTTTTCTACGCAAATATGCCTCGCGCCCATATAAGTCCGTGTGTGGCCGTACTCTGGCATCTTTGCTCTCTCATTCTGAGTTCTGGCAGTTTCGGAGTTTAGAATTAAATTTATCGTCGGAGATGCAGTTCTCGCTTCGCGTAGTTTCGTAGACTTAGCTATGCCACATTGAGATTATCAGCTCATTCTCTGTCGTTGAATAAGGTCGGTAGGATAGATTATTGCGGTAATTATTCCTATCGTACTGATCTCTCCGTCATTATTTATTGGGTCAGTTTCTCCTGCTGTCCGGAAAGAACTTTGGGGATCAATACGCTACAGCGTAAAATATAAGGGGGAAAACTATTTTAGTCTAACCAGTTCACGGCACTGCTGCCGTCACCCGGCTGGAGTGTAACGTTACGACAGTACATATGGTTGAATCCGGCGCGGTACATAAGCGCCATGCTTAGCCACAACGTCCGCGGCATCCTGTCTAGTCAATCCATTTCCCGCCTTTTCACCGGCTCACTCACTGTACACTACGCCGCCGTCTGGTACATGATTTTGGACAACCATCTTTGCAAAAAATTCCTATGTCAGTTACATCTTTAAGAGAAAAAAAATGAATATGAACTCAGACAAATTAACTCGCCATCGATGATTTACAAATGATACTCGTCATCGTGATCTGGATCGGTTAAGAACGTCAACTAACTTTGGTGGTATTTATCGCAGTGCGATCGCAGTTCGGAGCCATTTCATAGCGAGTTTCTTTTAGCTGTAGAACAAAGGTCCCATAGGAGAACAGAACGCCAACCATCTGCAATAACGTTATCGTAGGTAAGCCGAATTATCGATGCTGGTGCGTTTGCGTTCTGTAGGCCAATAGTCTCTGCGGTATATCGAGCTAATACACGGAGACAACTGCTTACTGTTGCAAGAAATGTTCGATCTACCAAGACAATGCCAGCCAGGGAAAATCCAGTGGGACTGGATGGGATCCAGTACAATTTGGTGAACATTTTCATAGATCCTTCAGAGCAAGTCTCGTGAGCGGCTAAAATACGGACTTCTTTAGTTACGTTCGCCTAAAAACAGAACAACAAAAATTAATTAGGGTTGCTGGAGGAATCAAATCTGCAGTTACTCAAAACAAATTCGCAGAAAACGCTAAACTTCGACACTGTATTAGGCACTTATATAAAAGTATCAGACGAAGTCGAAAATGCAGATGCAGTATTTATTTATTACGCGACCATGTACCTGTTCATGAACATAGATCATAGCAAAGGTGACAATCAAGGTCCAAACGATGATCTCCATCGTGTTATAAGCCTGGATTCCCATTGGCAACATGGTGATGATAATCGTTTTATTCGCGTAATTATTTATCGTCCACACGAGCAAGATAACTGACTGGAGGAAGAATAAGAGGACAAATCCACCAATACGCTGCGATAAGGTTTCAACTAGCTTACACATGTCAAAATAGTTACGCAGATGTTGGCCCATAACCGCCTGATTCGTGTCCAGGCTCAGGTTTTCCTTTATCCGAAACAGTAAGCGCCCGATTAGACAGCAGAAGGTAGCCAGTAACGATGCCAGAAAATTCAGCAAGCAAGTACGGATTAAGGTAAAAGCAGAGTAGATATACCGGACGAATTGCCGCTTAAAAATAGCCAATTCGTATGCACTGGCCAGAAATTCCGCTTCCCTTCCGCTGACATACATGAAGTGGAAGTTAAACCACACGATGTACTGCTGACAAAATGACACCGCCGTTAACAGGATAACGACTGTCACCGCGCACATCAGACGCCATTCGCGTGGGGCGAAATATTCGGCTTCATAGTGCCGGATGGATCGGAGGGTGGCATGGATGTGTCGCCATTCTGCCGTCACAGTCAGCGTGGATAACAGGGACATCACTTCTCGCTGATGCGCGCACACCACGTAGAAAAATTCTTCCATGCTTCCGTTTAATCGCTCCATGAGCAACGGAAGAGTAACGGCCGCTACATTCAGGATTTTAATTACTGTAAGTGTGACAATCCAGGAATACGCCAGGACAACCTTCCAGCGATATTTGCCAAGGGCTCGTGGATCGATAATCCACAATGGACATATTCCACAGATTTTAAGAAGTGTTTGCCAAATGTTTAGGGAAACACTGAGAAACTTACTGGTGACGTTTGCTGGAGGTACCTTATTGTCATTAAGATCCATGTCTAGGTAGTCTGTGTAATTACGAAAGCGTATATTCATCAAGCTGTCGGCGCAGACTGGCGTTCCCCCGCGTTACGCTGTAAGCGCCACCTGTTTGTCTATGCACGGAGCCTTATTACCTTAGGGATCCACAGTTTGTGCAACATTATTGTCAGAGGAAGGAAAATGCTCGGTCCTGAATATCCCTCCTGCTTTATGTGAATGTGTATTGATTATTTGGGTTTATGTTACGCAAATAAATTGGCTAGGGAATAACCGTGAAGCTTCGTCAGCCATGTACCGACTGGTCACTGAGTTTTAGAATTTCACAGCAGCATTCTCAGAAGGCTCGAGCGGACGACCACACTCACCCTTAGCTTATGGCAGTAAAATGTTATGCCACCTTTATCGTTATATTATGGCGTCCTCCTTGCGATATGAGAAGTTTGTTTAATCGTACTACCGCACATTTCGACAAATTCAAAATCCTAAGAAAGTAGCACCCCTTGAACACTGTTGCCGCTCTGCGTGTTAATTTATTGACGCAGCTTGTAGGAGAATAGCTTTAAGACTCTAACGCAAGCTGTACTTAAGATAATACTCAGAGTCTTATGAGAACATCTTTCTATTAGTCCCGCATTTTAGGCATGCAAATGTCATTCATGGCGCAGAATATTACTGTATATTTAGAACGTAGTATATCTAATCGACCAGTGTTACGGCAATGAAAACACCGTCAGCGAGCGCTGCGAACATGGAAGTTCAATCCTGACTGAAACTTGCAGTGTTTGTTTCAGCTCGGCACCTGGGAGATCTTTCATAATTAGCCTCTTCGAGTTGCAGGACGAAGGTTCCTAAAAAAAGCTAACCCCCAATACCCGCAGACGCAGGCATCTTTTTTTAATACAGCGCTGCTGTGTTTGCAGTTGAAGCGTAATTAAAGTCAGACGTACAAAACTGTGAAATTTATGTTTGCAGCTGCAAGAAACGATCGACCAACGAGAATAACGCCATACAGCCACCGGAAGTATCCCGGCCATGAAACGTTCCACTAAAACATTTGCCAATAAATACATAAATTAAAATAAACGCGATTTAAAGGTACAGAGGCGTCTTCGGACGCCTACTTAACTTTAATGTACACTTTTTATGTCTAATTCCTTCCGGTTACGTCGTCAATTATTTCGGTGGCGCCATCGTTAACGTTTTATCGACGCATTCTAGGCTGAAATGCCCGTAATTTGTCAAATTCAGCACCATAAAACGAACACGGAAATGCAATAGGATCAGCACACCGCAGAGATCTGGAAAAAGAGCGACCAGTTACTTTCCATTTAAGAACGCGATGGCACTTGGCATTGTTTGCTGTAAATACGAAAATACGGAATGCAGTCACAAAGACGATGTCGGAGTGCACGTTCGTAAACCCGCTAATAAGACATGTGTAAACAAAGAATCTGGAGCGGCAGTTATATAAAAAGCGGTTCCAGCTGCCATTCGATCGGTATCTGTAGATTCCTTGTTCATACTAATTCCTTATTTTATATAGTATCTAATTTGACTATATACAATATCTATCAACAATGAATTTTGCTACGGTGACCTTTGTCTGCAGCCTGGTGTGCTCCAGCATTAACTGCCAGGATCCATGGGGAGGCAGCGGCGTCTTTCCCGGATTTCCGGGATATGGCGCCGGATTTCCCAGTAGTGGAGGATGTAATGGGTTTGCCGGGATGCTGTCCAATCTCCTAGGGGGAAGCCGTTGTTGTAGTGGTGGGTGCGGAGGCGGTTCGCAGATTATTTACTATCCTATCCCACTCCCTCCAGGACCTAATCCACCCACTCCACCCGTGACCTCGACTACTGCGCCAATTCCAACTTGCACCGGTGAGCAGTTAAGACACAAGTAACAAATACTTCGAAACCATCATAAGACATATCGCTGCTTTACAACTTTTGCAAAGGAATGGTGACTTATTGAGCATCTTTCATTTCCTTATTGTGTTGCAGTAAGTACTAGCTCAAGTCCGTTTAGTCCTTGGATGTGCGACCAGACCTTTATCCCCGCCATGATAACGGTAAGAAGTTACAACATGCTCCATAAAAGATAACACAGTTGGACATTTTTACCATGCCGCTTTGCCTTGTTCAGGGATGTCCGGCTTCCCGCGTGACTTTTCAGCTCTCGGGAATACCATGTGCCTACCTTGAAAGCAGTGGCGCGATACGTTTCAGTCCCCTTAACGGCGGCTGCGCTGTCGGACCCGGATTCGTTTATGTCGGTACCCTGACAGCAACAGACATCGTCACAAATGTGATTTTATCTGTCGGTCAAATCCAGGTAATTGAGTAGGTTTATACAAAATATTTATGAACAAGTGCTATGCGTCCGTTTATAAAGGATCCCCGAAATTCCAGTGAATGCCGGGTCACATACCCAAGTTTGCGGAAATATACAAAGTACAGTATTTCTACATAACAGTAACTATTATTATTATTCAGATAAACACCGCATCGTTGAGCTACTGCACTGCAACAACCACTGCGATGACAACCTCGACCGCAACAACATCCACCGGGACACCGCCTGTTTGCGATGGTGCGTAAACACTTATTGTTGTATTGTACAGATAGCTAAGCGCATACGCACATGTAGTACGTACTTCGTGGCGTAGCGTAAATTATTACGTATATAGATATTAATGCAACTTCTACTTTTATACAGTACAATTGCTGTCTACCGGTATATCTAGTCTAATCTAGACAGAAATAAGAAATATACGGTAGATACAAAGTAGATAAGTACTGTTTATATCTACGAATGTAGTAAGCATGCAGTGCAACGCCGCACTCATAAACTGAAAATATTATACGAGTAAATACAGTACTGTATCATTGGGATCACTGGTTTACATAATGATTATTGCAGTCGCTTACAACCTTTCGACTTCACCAAGTAGCTCATCAGATTTCTTTCTGACCGACTGTCGGGAACAGTTTACTACTCCCCGTTATATGGTAAGCCAGTTTGCTTAAGCGCTGTTAACCTTATCGCTGTAAGCGTATTAAACATAATGTGATTGTAATAGGTACTTAAGAAATATTGTGAAACAACCTTTAATTAAATAATTTATTATAGAACTGCCCCTTTTCGCGATATACCTACACACTGTTGGGCTTACCGTGTGCGGACCTGCACTCCGACGGCGCGCTTGCAGTGAACGTCAACAATTCGGGGTGTAACGTCTATCCTTATTCATACTACGGACAGATGATCATCACAGACAATGACAGCGGCAGACAGCTGGGGTACTATTACATAGCGGTACGTAGATTTGGAAATTGTCCAACCAGTAAAATCGACTGTGCTTGCGTCATAATAGTGAACAAACGCCGGGTTTCTTCCAACGCGTAGGATGTTATTACCATGAGTACAAAACAGTTACTTATAATTATTAAATAGTAATAATTATAATTAATAAATAAGGTACAAAGATATAAAATTGACTTCTCTAACTTCAGAAGTTGCAGTATGTGTTTATTATATGTTTTTACATTGTTTTCAGATGCACATGAGTGGCCTGGCATACTGCGTGACGCCATAATTCAGCAGAATTATCGCAAAGTATCGTAGAGCGAGTAACCTACACTGTTACCGTATTTTCTTCTGATACCGAAAGTCGTCTAACTATGGGAAATATTTGTTTCGGTTATACGGTCGTACTGCACTTCGTGCAACGTAACTGCTGCTGTTTAATAATATCGAAACTAAAAAAATATGCAAATTGCAGCAAAAAGCACATAAAGGCAGCAACCAGAAGATTTTTTTATAGGGTGGATGACAGAATTTCCGTTGAACTGAGCATAAGTGTATGGTGCATACAAATCATAGCATAACAACACATGCGCACAGAATAAACAAAAACTAACACTCCAAATAAGGTTTCTTCAGTGATTACCGTTACATCTACGATTGATCGATCCTACAGAGCAGTACTCGTATCACCGCCTTAAGAATTTCAGCCAAGCCGAAAGCAATGGTAACCTTTGCTTTTGCAGTTTCCTTTATTAAACTGTATATTGTCTAACTTTACGAGGCGCACTGCGAGACATACTTACATTATTAGAAAAGGAGAATGTTCATACTTTAAGGATCTGACTTCTCTCGTTGCTATAATGGCTACTATTTAAGCGAGACACGGAAGGGAGCAGTCACGTTTTACAAACCCTCATAATTAGTAAAGCAGTTTTAATTGCGCAGTAATCCAACCGGCAGACTGCAAAACCATGGCATTCTCGGTAGACGGAAACCTCAACAAGGTTGTTAGCTAGTTTCTCGGTGAGAAAAATCATTTTGTTCTGGGAAGTCGGTTCAAAATCAGCGGGGTCTCATCGAGCGGTCGTTCCGTAATACTAATGAACATTTTAACCGGAACCGTGGAAAATTTCCTCTGGATTGTATTTCATTAACAACGGGAAGTCGGTTCGCTCTTGCCGTCGGGGATCGTGCCGCCTGGTCATTAATGGAAAAAGACATTCAGGCAGTCATACAGCTCATCCGGCACTACGTAGCCGATTAATATTAGCAAATACAAGCATTTCACCCACCAGAGTTGACCTTTTGCCATCTTCAATTTGTCATGCCCAGGGGTCACGGAGATGTCGGCTACCATGGATGCCATAGGGTTGAAATTGGCTGTTTTACTACCACGGGTTTGTATCGGGCCCTGGCTGGGCTCATTAAATTTTACGTTGACAAGACGGAGCCAAAACCCCGATGCAGATAAGTGCAATAATGCACAAAAACTTATTACCCGAAACAATGTGTGTGTTGCGTTGTCTACTTATACTGGCAACACAGACTAATAGAGTACTTAAAGTAACTGTAAAATATATAATTTATTGGGCAAAAGCCATCAATGTTACAAAAAGTGCATTCGCGTAATACTACTTAAAATGATTCAAATTTAAACGTTAAAAAAACAGCCAAAATCGTTATTGCTATCAGAAATCCTAGGACGCATATTCAAGGTGCCCAAAACAGCAGCAGCATTTCCTTTCACTACAGCTAGACTTAATCTCTGCTTCAAAAACGCAGTAGAACGAGGTTCCCCTGTCACGTCGCGAATCTTTCTGCCAGCGAAACAGATGAGCTCCATAAAATCCGAACCGAAAGTGCCAAAAGTTTCGACTGCCAGGGCGTAAAACAGGTAACCCATCCTTTCCACGTAAGCGTATTTACGGCGTTTAACGTCTTCGGCCATATGCGCAACACTACCGGATGCACTCGCACTTGCCCGGACATGCGATGCGGCTACCGTGTCCCAGCATGTAGCGTCCCATACCAGCGCCTTACCATCCCGTACCGGGACGAGAGTCATGCCGTCTGGCCGCGAGTTGTTTATGCCTGACAGTCCGAGTGGCTCGCTTTGACATGGATACCCCGCATGTTCCAAAGCCCGCTTTATTTCGGCATTTAGTTCCGTATGTCTAGACCATCTGCCTCTGCTGCTGATACAAGAAAGACCGTGGTGGCCATTCGTCTCCACATGGCTTCCGCAGTTCACGCAATCGTGTTCTTCTACTACTGGAAGTCCGAAACGAAGTGCCACACCGATTCGTACTTCTTCATCCCGCAAAAACGTACTTCTTGGCCCAGTTTAACACTTTTCGAATCCTGGGTCCCTGGCTCTTGTAGAACTACTGAGATTACTTTAGCTTGAAGTAGTAATTTAATGGTGTAATCAGCTCCTACTTTAGCTTGAAGTAGTAATCTAATGGTGTAAGTAACTGTTGTGCTACTATTAGCACCCCGAAGTACGGGTGTGGGCAATCTGTCGATTTTGATGATTCATGTTTCTGGCTGATTAATAATTGGTTTCTTATGCCGGTTTTCACGTACAGTACCAGGTCCGGTACTGTGCAGAACTAAAGCAGAAACCGGAGCTTTCTTTGAAATTTCTTTGCTTGCTACGCAGGAGCTGATTACACCATTAAATTACTACTTCAAGCTAAAGTAATCTCAGTAGTTCTACAAGAGCCAGGGACCCAGGATTCGAAAAGTGTTAAACTGGGCCAAGAAGTACATGTTATACAAGTTATACTTACTTGTAAGGAGTGAATGTTCTACAGATAGGGAACTGTTCCTGTGTTACAGTTCATCGGACACTCAATATTTCAGCCGCATGTACGATGTAGCCAAGCGATGGATGTTATATTATCAGGGCGAAAAGTGCAAACTAATTGCGAAAACTTTCACCGTTCATGACATTTTATAAAGATATCCTTGGAAAATGGAGAAGAACGACGTTAGCGGGCCAGCTAGCTGTGAAGAGCCAAACTACGGACATTACGTACTTCCTGGCAGTGTCCCTGGAACCCTCAGTTTGGTTGGTTTACCGGATCAGAATGGTATCACGAAGTGGCAGAGACTTGTGAACGTTATTCTTCTGGGATTTGGTTTTATGCTTAATCTGCGATTCATACTGACCGCCGGAAAGGCGCAGGTAAAAACTAAACCTGTGGAAGTGCTCGAAAGGCGGATTATTCGATCTTAAAGATGCGAATACTTCAGTGAAATGAATAAAACAATTTATCCATTTATTGTATGTACATACAGTACATCGACAATATCTGAAGTAAGCTTAGATGTTTATGCAAGTAATTTAAACGAGCTGCCAAGGTCCTCTTTTTTGATTGTTTCTGTTTTTCAGAGGTGTCTTGATCTTGGTTTTTCAGAGGTTTACTAATCAACTTTCGCTTTTTTCCAGACCGTGGTGTTGCACAGCGTGTTGGACGATGCCACCTTGGGATAAATCTGTTTGGCTGTAAATTGTGGTGCGTTTCCCGGCATCTGTGGTCATCAAGTTTTGCATTTTTCTTAGGCTTGATGATGGTCAAAATGCCCATGGAAAACTTTCCTAAAATAAACTTTTTCTTGTTTGCAGGGCCTCAGGCCATCGCCTATTTGGTTGGTCCCTCTGTTGTGAGTAAACCCTGATCAAAATATGCAATAAACCTTTGCTTGTGTTATCTTGTGCATTATTACGACCAGATACGAATATGATGGATTGCCTTTTGCAGTGCTTTTTTATGGGACCGAAGTTTGCTTTAGTGCTGGGATCCAGTATGCGCGTGTAGCCGGCAGATATATTGGCCTGTTGACTGTTGGCGAGCTCGGCAGGAAAGTGGTTTTCCTCCCATAAATCTGCCGAAGTGCTCCCAGAATTCTGCCGACCCGACCCTATGCATTGCCTATGGGAACTCCAATATATCAGCTGAACCGGCGCAACAGTGAAATTTGATATTTTGGTTGAGCGCGAGCCGGCGATAGCACAGCCGGGCTGTAGAATGAGATACATCATAGTAATTATATACAGCCGCCTAAGCATAATTGTACCGGCACTAAACACAGAGGAGCAAGCGCTTTCCTTGCGCCGTGTCTCACCCTTGCAGTGGAGCGTTTCTGCTGAGTGTGGATTTATACACAGACATCATCGCAGAACGTAGTAAATTATTGAATTTATTTCTTTTTTTGCAAATAACCATAATGTTTACGCCTAAAAATTGTGGATCATGGGAATTATCCTTAGACAGTTTCACTTAAAAATTATCACGTGCTTTGTGATGCATTATTGCCTGCGCTCATGGGACTGTAAAAGAACTAAAAAGTTTTCTAAGAAAGCATTACCTTCAAATTATCACCATATAGGCAATATATTAACGCGCTATGCATAGATTGCGCGTATTACGTACGTACGTGTTACGACGTACGTGTTGTCTGTTCCGTTTCGTACGATGTGCTGTTCTTATCTAACGCATTTGATCGCTAATCGCATCCACGATTCTGGTCTAACTGAAGAGTCTGAAGTTTCTAACTTCAACTAAATCTGTGAGCTTGTTTCTACTCTGTAGCTGAAAGGTCGTGTGACTCTAGGTTAGAAGGAAGTTCATATCTCGTTCTGTTCTGTTTGTTCGTTCGTTCGGTTTGGTGATTAAACATTTGGGAAGTTCCTGAGTGTTTTGGTTTCGGTAACTTTCGTTAGGCACAGCAATCCGCTCGTACCTAGCGGAAGTAGGCAGTAGTACCACTTACGGAGTCCAGAACATATTCCCACTCTACCGATTGAGTAGGTTTGGTCATCTAGTGCGGTTGTCGCGGTGCGACTTCCGCATAGCATGTCAATATTGTCAGTTTAGTTGGCGATTTCATACAAGATTTGGACATCCAGAATTAAAAAGTATTATTTTGATCTGACGACCAATAGATCTATGGAATTGCGCCATAAGTCCTGACGATCCGACCCTACATACTGTTTATGGGCATTCCAACAGGTCCGAAAAATAAGAGCAACAGTGAAAGTTGGATTTCCTTAAAGTTGGAGATTGCATGCTAAGTCCAACTGTGCGGCTGAACCGGTTTATGCAAAATTTTTAAGGAAAATCAGAATTTTTCTGAAGCGCTGTCGAAATTTCTAAATCCGGTTCTTCAAGAGCAGCACACAACTGACAATGGTATACCCAGTCTGTGAAATTAAATAGAATAAATTATTGCCCAATTCGATAACTTGTATCTTCATTCAAAATAATTACTGTAGCCGCTCGCTTGAGTTATACCACACAGTTGGTGTACGGGAAAAATGCGCACCAAATATACACACGCTGGCCGGGCCAAATGCACGGACCAGCGCGATTGTACTAAATTCATTGACGTTTATTCTGAGAATATTGTCCATCAGTTTTTAAGGTGATAACTTTCTCTTTTCAATTTTAAAAATCTCTTAGACAAACCGCACTGTATTCCACAGGAACGATCAGTTTTCAGGCACCAGCATACTGTCGCTCAATGTGCCTCCCCCTTCCAGGGGCACCCCAAAAACCACAACAAATCAGCTGCTAAACTCGTACATACATCAAAACTCAAAGTTTATGGCCTTATTTTGGTGTCAAATTTTAGACTGATAAGTTTTTTTAAACCTCAGATAGATCAGATCGAAAAATGTAACAGAAAGAGTTACAGAAGCACGGTAAATAAGAATCGTGCATTTTGCCCGGCCAGAGTATGTATATTTGATGCGCATTTTTCCCGTACATCAACTGTGTGGTATAACTCAAGCGAGCGGCTACAGTAATTTGAAAATGCAGGTTGGCAGACCGCAGCTTTGCTGAGACTTCATTTGCGTTAATATTTGCTGTATTTCCGTAATGAATTTCCGTAAAGGACATACATACATTCTGTATTTCTGCTGTATTTAGATGATTTTTGATAAGTACTCTCCGGTCGATTACGTCTTGCTGTAATGCCAGTTGCCCGATACTTGCGTACGTAGTAAGCATACGCGTGAACCTGTTGACTGTCGGCGAGCCCGGCAGTAAAGTGGTTTTCCTCCCATAGATTTGCCGAACTGCACCCACAATTCTGCCCACCCGACCCTATGCATTGTCTATGGGTACTCCAATATATCAGCCGAAGCGGCGCAACAGTGAAATTTGATACTTTTGTTGAGCGGAAGGCGGCAATAACACGGTAGGCCGCAGTATCAGATGCAGAATTGCAGATGCACCGACACTAGACTCACAGAAGCGCGCTCTCTTGCTTATTGCAAAGCTTAATTGAAGTTAGTTGTTACAAATAAGCGGGTATGCTGATTGTTAATGCAGACACAGGACAACCGGCATCATTCATCATCACTGCAAGAAGTAAGTAACTAATCTGAATATACCGTAGTTAAAAGTTTTTATGAATAGAAACGTTTTATTCTGTTTAATTTCACGGACTGTACCGTATATACTGTAATCGCGTTTATTTTGTGAAATTTACTTAAAAGCTTCATGTAATGTAGCGGTATTGCTAAAATTAAACTCATAAAACTTTACTGTAATTTTGGAAACAACATGTCCAATAACAGATTTGCCGAACTGCACCGTTAGTCCTGACGACCTGATCTTAAGCATTGTCTATAGGAACTCCAATAGATCTAACAAACAAGAACAACAACGAAACTTGATATTCACTGTCGAGCGCTAGTCAGTCCGCCGGCATACTATTGTCTGCTAAATAATTCTGAGCGCTCTTGTCGGACACGATATTAGATTAATTTTTCGAACCAGCAACCAACCGGCTGTTTACACGAAACAGTTTAGGCTGCATAATAATATTATCTTTAACTGCATCTGTCCACGCCGCTCCACGGCATATGCAGTAAGTGTACTTCTATACACATTTAGGACGATCGCCGGAGCTTTTTCGATTAGGTACGAATAAGTAATATACGTAATCTTGTGAGTCTGGATTTGAATAACCCATAAAGACCCTCTACTTTTAATAACAACAATGGTATTGTTGACAACGAATTTCGTTTGCGTTGCAAATAATAATAATTAGGTATCTGTATAAAGTTTTGCTCTACTATCAAAGTCAGAAACAATAATATTAAAGGCAATCACAGCTACTGCACCGGATATTTGCACAAAAATAGTTTAAATTATTTGTACTTTTACAGGACTTTAAATACTTTCTATTGCATACAATATTGTAACGTCCTTAGGCTGCGTTCGTACAACGGTACAAGTGCTGCCAGCCGTCTGATGCAAGCGCAGCGACTAAAGACCTCTCTATTAATCTATGCAAACGGGATCCTAAGGTGACAATCATGATGCTAGCTCCAAAGGCGGCATATATAAAAAGGATAGAGATCATAGCGCTATGCTTCTAATTAATTAGGGGCTGCAGCGGCCAAAGTTGCTCCCATTGTAAACAATTGTACAGAGCGAAGTAACTGTAATTAAGTTATAAATAGCGGATTCATGGCCCGTGGCAGAAGAAAAGCAAAATGGATGAAAGAGTGCGTCAGCGTGATTAAACGTAACTGCATTAAGCGTGTATTATCATTTTCTTAAAAATTAATACTGGAGTCTGTTATGGCGTAGTATTTTCGTTGTTTGATTTAGTATAAACTACAATTAGCAGATACGGTTGACCGCTGAAGTGAGTTTTCATATTTAAGTGAGACTGTCTAAGGATAATTCCCATCATCCACAGTTTTTAGGCGTAAACATTACGGTTATTTGCAAAAAAAGAAATAAATTCAATAACTTACTACGTTCTGCGATGATGTCTGTGTATAAATCCACACTCAGCAGAAATGCTCCACTGCAAGGGTGAGACACGGCGCAAGGAAAGCGCTTGCTTCTCTGTGTTTAGTGCCGGTACAATTATGCTTAGGCGGCTGTATATAATTACTATGATGTATCTCATTCTACAGCCCGGCTGTGCTATCGCCGGCTCGCGCTCAACCAAAATATCAAATTTCACTGTTGCGCCGGTTCAGCTGATATATTGGAGTTCCCATAGGCAATGCATAGGGTCGGCAGAATTGTGGGAGCACTTCGGCAGATTTATTGGAGAAAAACCACTTTCCTGCCGGGCTCGCCAACAGTCAACAGGCCAACATATCTGCCGGCTACATGCGCGAGTAGTTAACGTTTTACATTAATCCGCTTAGATTTTGGAGCGCTATTGGAGTATGTGCAGATAGTTTTTGTATTCAATTTTAATAATGGGAATTTGTCATCTTCGAAAATTTCGAATCTTGTAGTTGCCGTCATCGCCAACATTGCCGCTTTAATAAGACCGGTGTATTGCGTAATTTTTGTGTGTGCTGCCATTTCTGGTTTCGGCGTTGGTATCGTCTGGGCCGTTCAAGGATACTTTTCAACAAGCAACTCTACGCCAAACACGATAGAAAGGTTGGGTAACTGTTGATGATAGATTGTTCAGTTTTCTGAATTACGCCAATTTTTTTGCAGGAATACTGGGATATTTTGGGGAATTTCCCAGATGTGGTACACTATATCACGTCTGCTTGCGAATTCTTGAAATTTTTATGGGAATTTTTATATGTATGCAGTTTACCAGCCGGAAGTACGTTTTACTATCTCATGCTGCGAGGTGCGACAACAATCGAGGATCCCACTCGGATAGCCGTTTTTATTACACTGACGGTGACTGCGACGTTAGGAACACTGGTGTTCGTCCTGATAAAACATCCATGGCCGAATGCCAAGCAGTACAGACACACGCAAAAGTAAGCCTTCAAAGTTAGACTGGTGCTACGCCTTTTCGGCTCTTTTCGGTTTTTGCCTCGATTATCTCTTGCGATGGTAGTCGAAAACCGCTCATAATGATAGAGAAAATCCCATTTTTTCTTATGAGAAGTACCCGTCTGAACGGGAAATAAATGTTTCCAATGTTTTTGTTGACAGGATCAACCAAATGCCGGTGGGAGCGAAAGCTACTTTGGGTATGGGCCTGTCAGCTCACTGGATATGTAAGAAGATGGTTTTCGTCAGCGTACTTTCGAATGATTTGCAGCTGCTACCATTCGTTTGGGTTGTAAGAATGGAATGATGTTGCTCATCCCTTATTTCTTCTACATTGGTAAGTGATTTTTCTCGAAATGGGTACATACGGATTTGTTCGCTTCGAAATCTTGATAGGTTTTACGTCGACGTTTTGGTCCAGTGTCAACGGCACAGCGCTTGGTTACACTCGCGCTTTCGGGAACGTACGAGAATCCCTCGTTGGGCTGAACGGAGTGTTCCAAGGAGTAGGAGAAATAACAGGTGCTGTCATACGCCGCGACTTATAGGAAAAGGCGCAGTTTCATTAAAGATTATTGCTGTAGGTGGTGTGTTCCTAGGAATTTTTGGTGCCTGGTCGATCAAGAAAGGGCGAGATGTGTTTCTAGTCGCGGGATTTATCGTGCATCTGACAGCGTTCTATTTGATCTTCTTGAACATGCCCCCGTTGTCGTCCCTACAAATGACCAGTGAAATGTCCTATATTGGACCGAGGTGTGTAAATTTAACTATGTGCGTTTTTGGCGTACATGTTGCACTGAGGTGACATCTACGCTTGTAAAATTTCGTTTGCTTTTCTTATGTCTTTAATGTTTTTTTAGGTAAGTGTTTCTTATTTCATTAAACAGGACCGTATTTTTCCTCTTTTGCAGTCCGTATATCGCCATGCTTTGCACAGCTTTAATAGGATTCGGTGAGACAGAAAATGCCATCTTATTGATTGAAACTGTTGTATACATGCAGTTTTTCTTCATAGGCGATGCAATTTGGAACAATCAGGTGATTAATAATTATTCTAGGCTAATCGATTTACCGATTTCCATGCGATGCAATGGATGTCGAGATGGAAAACGAAAACTAGTGACCCGATACATGGTACCAAATTTGAGTATCAGGGAAATCGCGCGCAATTCAGAATACTATAACCCCATGCCATATTGCCATACAGCAATGCGAAAAATGTGCGAAATTAAAAGAAAAGTTCCCGTACATGTATTTGGTACCCGGTACAGCGTCACTCCTCTTAATTATCTAACGAACTGTTTCCCTTGTAGCTTGTAAGACGTATCACGTATGTTATACGTAATACCTGTTGCTCTTTATACTTTGTAGCTAATGGCGTATTTGGGAAGCGCTTATCCTCTTCAAACGGTTGCTGCTTTCGGAGTCTATCAGTTTATGACGGTATGTTATCACCAACATAAAAGTTTTTCTGTAATCTGCAGTCACGTGTCTGCAGTTTAGTAACCTGTTCTTTGGATTGTAGGCTATTGGCAATGTTATCGCAGCCGGATACTCAACAGTATTATCTTTGCCGTTTCATCTTTTGATTATGGTGATGACTGGCATTCCGGCCTTGGCGGGATACAGTTGGTTAGAATGGAAAACATTTCCGAAAAAGGGATTCTCCAATGGAGGACAAAAAGGAATGGAAATGAGCCACTCGCTCCGCCGTTCAAAGACTGGATAACTGAATCAACAAACCGCGTGCAGCAGGAACGCCTCTGTAATTACGCACCACTACAGTGCAATGAATCGGCAGGACTGAAGTGGAGAAGACTAGCGTCTGTGCACAGTTTGCCATAAAATGACGCACCTCCTTTCTTTCGTGCTACGTACATTGTAGGAATTTGCCGGCTCAGAGAGAGCCTAGTTTTGAATTAAAAACTTTTTGCCTAGATCAGTGTAGATTTTATTGAGTACAGAGTACTGCGATTAACAAAAGCGATCTTTTCGCAAATTCTTAAATCCTCGCAATATTTTTTTATTTAATGGTAGCAATTATCTGCAAACCGTATTTTGGAAAGCAGTTGCTGTTTATGACGATTTTGTCAAAAATTATTCATTTTGGTAACAAAAGTTATCCTGCAGTATGCCCGACTGAAAATTCAGTCACACGTATGGTTAGTTTTTCATGACCTTACGAAACAGCTGCGAAGTGCACTGTAATATCAGCTTCTTGTATAAAGTATATCTGTACGATTTGTTTACGGTTAAATATTTTCCAGAAACTGCTGTGTTTGAAACGGCTATCATACAATGTAGGACTAAATGGTCGCATAGCCCCATACCCAGCAATCTCTACGCAAGCGGTGCAGTGCACTTGTACGAAACGGATATTTTGAACTCAGTCGTACAGTGCACTGCGCTGCATTCGTACTGAATGTGGAGATGTTTGGTATGCGACCATTTTGTCCTAAGCTGTACTTCCATTGCGAGCAAATATTATAGTTCTTGTGGGATAAACATAGTGCATTTTGTGCAGTACCGTGCGTAAAATGAACAAAGTGTATGTAGAACGTACATCTGCATAACTGAAGATGCGGTAATTCTAATTGCACCTCAACCTGTACGAGTAAAATACTCGTAGTTATGTACTTGTTACATAAGTTAACTGTTCGGAATGGCTATACGCGCAAATGACCGTCCATAGGCAAGCAGCATGCAGTAGCAGCACAGGTGCAAAAGCGTGGTTTCGAAAGAAAAAAAACCCACAAGGAGTTACGAAAAGGAGAGTAGCAAAACAGAATTATATTCAGCAATGAGATCCATTAAAATGTACAATGTCCCGATAGTTTCTACCGTGGTGCCTGTTTTTATTCCGGGTGCTCCAAAGTGGCCTCCACAGTGGTCTGCGAGCCAGATGGCGGGACTTCATCCAGCGGTGGCGGTTCTTCCACATTCTCCGAGTTAAGCCACCAGGTGACCATGGGACCAATGCCCTGCAAAGACAAACCGATAAATAGCCAAGAGAACCTACAAGTATGCCGGACTGGATGCGTGCAAGTGGATCTATCATACAGATACGGATTACAGACTTTAAACTATTGCCCGACCAGCGAGAGGAAATTTACCTTGACATCGAGTTCACCGCGCAACGTAACGTCGAAGGTGCCGAACCCATCCAGGATGAGTTTATTGTCGTCGCTAATGTGGATTTTCAAAGCTGTGCTCAACAACAACGCTCCCGTTAATATTTTTATCACGTTTACGCTAATGCTTCACTGATTTTGTAATAGTTTCGTTTTTTTGTGTGTACCTTCGCCCATGCTTTCCATTTTGTTGGCAATCGTCACCGTAACTCCAAATCTAAAGAAACAACACGTATGTGATATTCCGCACGCAATAGGAATAGAGTAGACGAGCAATTCCTAATAGTATTATACAACGTTTACAATATGCAAGTCTCGCCTATTTTTCATTATCTATTTTCGTCCACGCTGTGCTCGGGATCGATGCCACGATGCAACTGGACAGTTTTACGATTAGTTAATTCTGGTTATGCGCTTACAAGCAGTAGCGTGGCATCTTCAGCCCCACCACCCCAGCGACAGCGGGTCCGGAGTGATTGCCAATACGCAGTCGCAGTTGCTCCGTGGGACGATGGCGGATTCTGAAGCGTTTGATCCCCTCCAACAGCATCAGGGAGGTGCGAGCGATCTCGCGAGCGTGCAGGTTACCGTTGCGGATGGGTAATCCACTGACAACCTGTTAAATCAGACCGATGGTCAGCGGTGTACACAAATTTTATCACGGGTAGTGTAAATCCGTGCAGTTTACCATGTATGCATCCCCAATCGTTTCCACTTTGTACACATCGAATCCATCCAGAATGCCGTCGAACAGTGCTAAAAAGTTGAAAGCATTATTTGTATTAATGAAACCAGCTGGTGCGCTTTGGTTAAGTAGCGTCTCAGGTTTATGCGTTGAAAGCGTTTACTTACTGTAAAGGTCATTCAACAGATCGACCACTTGCAACGGCGTGCTCGACGCCGACAGCGTGGTGAACCCGACAATGTCGCTGAAATAAATGGAGCACTCGTCGTACGCTTCCGGTTCCACGGTTTCTCCTTGCTTCAAGCGGTTCGCCACCGACCTAATCCAGAACGCAAACTCAATTACAAAACTACCGTTATGAAATACTTATTACCGCAACTCATACCGTGGCAACACTTCGAACAGGAGATTCTCGGATTTCTGCTTCTCCTGATAGACCTGCTCGGTACGCAGCATGACAAGACCTTCTAGATCCGTGGCATAGGCTTCCATGCGCTTCATGAGATTGTCCATGAGATTGCCCTGCTCAGCGCCGGGGATCTTCTTCAGCTGGCCTTTGATGTCTTTCAGGGTGGGACGCGCCTCCGGTGCCTCGCTCCACGAGTGCTCCATGATACTGCGCAGCTCCGGTGGACAGGCATCGCCGGAAACATGGGGACGCAGCGGCGGATCGGTACCTTTTGCCACTTGTGCCACAATTGCTACAATATACGCAACTCTTAATTATCTCACCGTTGTTATTAATTCTATAATCTAATCAAGTATGGAGAAGCCCGCTCGCACGAATTTCTTCGACAACGTCTGTCTATAGAGATACAGCGTGGTAACGCGGTTTCTGTTTTGGGCACGGTGGAGAAAGCGGAAATGTTTAACGAGTTGTTGTTTGTGTAACTGCTTCTTTAACACGTGTTTAAGTGATGGTTTGTAATAAAGATATATACCTAAGAAGATAAAACTAACTAAAACGTATGCTTATACATTGCCTTAAAACTTAAACCATGTGCCTAGTTGCAAATAATACCTGCAAGATCAAGTATAAATGCAACCCGGTACAGCTTAGTCTTACGTAAATTACTGCAAAAATTTATTCAGGAGAAACTGTAAGGGTTACTTGGCAGGTGGCAACTGCCTTGCTGTATTACCGTACTGTGAAGTTTCTTTCATTATTGCAATTCGAGACGTTTGCAACGTAAGACGTACCGTATGGTTCCATAGGTAAGCGAGCGGGATCCGGCGAACCGTACGGATGACATCGAAGAACGATTTCTTGCAAGATGATCGCAAAACTGTACACATCGCCTATAAACCAACAAGAGAACTTCATCTACCCAACACTTACACCACCTACAGATACGGTTTAATAAGAATAACCGTCCAACTGACCTTCTGGGGTTCCTTGTGGTGGCATCTGTGCTCGCAAATGCTCCGGAGCACGCCATAACAGCCGGCCTTCGTCTGTTTTCGCCAGTTCCACATTCTTATTCAGGAACGGTTGGAGGAAACCCAGGCCGTAATCGGTGATCTTCAGTACGAACCGGTTGTCGATCACACAGTTGGAGCTGGTCAAGTTGCCGTGTGATTTAATGGGTGAATCGTGGAGGTACGCCAAACCCTATCCATCATAACACAGCCGTTCTCCATTGGTTTTTACGGTAATTTATTTAAAGAATTTATTACCGACACAATGTCACCGATCAGCGAGTACCGGAACGACCAATCCAGCTTAATTGCCTCGTTCTCCAGGACATCGGCCAAACTGCCTTTCTGACAGTATTCGAACAGCACTTGTACTTGGGCGTCTTCGACGGCGATACCGACCAACGGGTTCATGTTGTCGTTGTTGATGTCATGTAACTGCAGTTCAAAACCATGACATGTCAACAGCAGACCATCGAATGTTCTTTTAAGTTCTATCAGTACCTTTTTGATTTCTTTCAGTTCTTTGCGCGTTGCGTGGAAGCGTCGGGATGTCTGCAGTTTCTTGACGCACACCACTTTGTTCTTGTACTGCGCGGTTTTCGCAAACACTTGTGAATGCCCACCAGCGGAGCTTGCTCCGTCGGCGACGCTCTGCGGAGTACGAGAAAAGTCAGTGAAACAGAAACGACTTCTATGTTGGTGACCTTTGGAAATAGAGAAAATCGTCAAAATGGCGCTTACCATATTGCCTAAGCTTAATCGACTGATCGACACGGAAAGGCCATGTCGGTCTGATTTGGCGCTGATTTCCTCGGGAGGCACTCTCCACCATGGATCATTAATTGCCGCTTCCAGTTTACGCTTTCTGCAATATACTCATCTCACAACAAGTTTTTTCGTTCACACAGTAGTGAATTCTCACCGGTAAACGAGTAACGCAATTACCGAGACGATCCCCACGAAAATCACAGCCGAGACGACGGACGCGGCCAGGATAATGTTTTGCTCTGACGCGATTAACAATTTTCTGAACAAGTCACAGTACGCTAAGAAATATGTCACAAGTACCCCGAACGCAGACTGCATCGTTGCCGAGGTATCCACAGCGCGGCCGGTTAGGCGGAGGCGAATCGCGGTTGTACCACTTGATTTCGCGTTCTTTTCCCTCACTGGTCAGCACCGGGTCGATACGCTGGGTGTACGCGCGGTACTCCAGCACCGGCTGTAGCAAAGTAAACGAATACTTCGAACACTTGCATGCAAATTGTCTCTAAGCGTTTAAAAGTATGGTTTATCAATGCTTGCTACATTTATAACGCGTTCATTCAGTACTGGAGTATTATCGGGCCATAATTATAATGCTTTTAATCGGCTTTAAGTTTATCTCGTTGTTTCTTGCGTATGAGACTCTCTGAAGCGTTTCATAAACTGAACTGTAGATTGAGAGCATTCTCGATTTTGGTTGTCGCGGTCATACCTGCAGTAGTGACCTTA